TGAACTTCACTTATTGTAATGTACAACTGGTTACATAACTACTGATCTCTCTCAACCATGTTCAATGTGTAACTCTACCCTTAAACTAACTCTTGATCAAAATGGAAAATGTGTTTGTGATGCTAGCAATGGATACGTTGTTGGTGCAACAGGAGCTTGTGTCAAGTACACAGCCAAGTGTCCTATTGCATGTGGTTCCAATGGGGCCTGTCAATTGTTAACTCCAACAACTTCAGGATGTGTGTGTAAGAATGGTTTTATCACAACCAATGAAACTAAACCATGTTCATCTTGTCCTCAAGGAAAGATTAATTCTTCCTCTAAATGTGTATGTGATACAGTCAATGGATACACTATAAATGGTACTGGTTGTGGCTGTGATGCTTCTCGTGGATATATTGCTGGTTCTGATGGACTTTGTTCTTGCAATGCAAATCTCAATTTGGTTACCTATGGTTCATCATGTGTCTGTAAGCTTAACTATCATTTAGTTAATGGATCTTGTGTTTTAATTCCTCCAGCTTGTTATGGTAGTTCGAGTTGTGGAATCCATGGACAATGTATGTATGAGGATGTAAATAACACTGCCCGTACAATCTGTCAATGTGACACTGGATACACCACTGCCTCTTACAGTACCTCTCTTTGTGTAGACTGTGCTAGAGATTATCGTATGGATAAAAATTATATCTGTAAAAAGAGCTGTGTGCTCGATGGTTACAATGATGATTGTACTACCTATGTTCCTGCTGATATTTGTGCTTATACAAATCCCCAAACAATTCCATTCTGTGGATTTAATATTTACAGGGTAAGACAAAGAAGATTTTTAAGGCAGAATTATACAGGTGAACTTGTTTATATTGGAAGGGACATGGTTAAAGATTTGGACAAATCAATGATTTATTATGATACATTGGCTAAAAACAAAACCAGAGATGCCATGCTTGAACTTGCCAAAGCAGGAGTAGTTTGTGACAGCAAATGTAAAGAACATTTGACTGTCCTGTATTGTAAATCATTGGTACCTATGTGTGATGGAACCGATGCTCCAATAGAAAGAACATTTTGTAAGCAAACTTGTATTGACATTTGGTCCCAAAAGTTAAATTACACTGTTAATTTGGAATCAAAGTGTGAAGGATTGTCAGTAGAAGATTCTTGTGACTCGCGTCCATATATCAACCCTTCAACTCAATGCTTTGGTGTTCACTATTTAAATTCATCTGTTTGTTCAGGAAGGGGTCAATGCATTCAAAAAGATACTTGTAATTGTAATAATGGATATGGAGGAAAAAATTGTGAACAATTCGTTTGTTTTATTTATAAGGATACCGATATACCAGTTTGTAATTATCGTGGAAAGTGCGTTGGACCACACACTTGTGCCTGTAATGGTCCTTGGACTGGAAGTGATTGTCAGATACCTCTCTGTAATCGTAAAACTGAAAAACAAGGCGGTTGCAATTTCAATGGAGTTTGTAAGCTTATTCTTGGAAGTCCATCTTGTATCTGTGCTTCAAGTGGTAATTGGGCTAAATCAGATGTTTCTTGCTCTGTTTGTGCAACTGGATGGGGAGGACCTGGTTGTAATGTTCCAGTTTGTAATGGGGTTATATCAACAAGTCCAGATGTTTGTGGTGGAAGAGGTGGATGTGATTCGATTCGTCTTGCACAACCATCTTGTACTTGTTTGAAAGGATATGAAGGAAACAATTGCCAAAACTTTAAGTGTAATGAAATTGATAGAAATAGCACTTCTGTGTGTTCTGGACGTGGTACTTGTGCTGGCTTAAACACTTGTGTTTGTAAGGGTAATTTCGACCCAGCTAAATTCTGTTCTGAATGTACACCGGCCTATAATGGAACTGATTGTACTGAAAGAGTTTGTACTGAAGCAGGTACTTGTAATGGTAATGGTATTTGTAATTCAAATGGAAAATGTGACTGTACTGGAAATTGGGTTGGTCAATTTTGTGACAAATGTTTACCTGGATTTGTTGGTTCTTCATGTAATATTAAATGTGATTGTAATGGAAGAGGAAGTTGTAACAATGATGGATCATGTATCTGTTCTGAAAATGCAGAAGGTACCAAATGTGAAACTTGTAAAACAGGATGGTATGGTGATAAGTGTGATTTCTCAATTGATGCTTCTTCATTTGGATTTTCATCAAATGGTGACTCCATCTCAGGAACAGTTTATTCTTCTCTCAAGAGAAAGTTTGATTGTTCTGAACTAATTTTGGAATCTTCAAAGCTAGGTAAAGGAGCAGTGTGCGTTGTTAATAGTGATTCAAACTTGATGACCATTTCTCTTGGAAGAAATGCTTCAATTGTCCTTGATGAGGTTCTTACATTCAAGTCATACTTTAATTCTTCATCAACTGTTTCTGTAACATTTGCTGAAAGAGATTATATACCAACAAATCCTTCCATCTCTGTCACTACTGATAAGACAACAATTTCAAGAGCTTGTGGTTTCGTCTATTTGGATGCCTCTGGCTCCACATCAACAGATCGTAGAACATTGCAATTCTCTTGGAGTGTTCAGTCTGCACCTTCTCCACTTAATGGTCTTACTTTAACTAGTTTAATTACTAATCAACAAGGGTCTTCAGGAGTCACTATTAATTCAAACAGTCTTGGTGTTGGCAGTTATTCTGTTACAGCAACCATCACAAGTCCATTTTCTGGTTTAAGTGCTTCTTCAACTGTCTCATTCCTGGTTACTGATTTGACAGCTCCTATCGTTTCAATTAAGGAGGGCTCTGAAAGTACAATGACTATTGGAAAGATTTATTCAATCAATCCAAAGATTACATTCCCAAGCTGTTATGGTGGAAATGGACCATTTACGTTTACATATGCTTTGGATGTTAGAAATGTCATTCCAGTAGTTGTTAAACAAAAGTATAATATTCTCGTCTTCAGTGAAGATTATACCAAGATTACTGAACCAGGCGATTATTACTTCACTTTCACTGTTTCTCAAGCTGGAGCATCAAGTGTGACAGTTCCATTTAAGGTAACTGCTAAGGCACTTCCTTTGAGCGTTGGATTCAATATTGGTGATAGAACTCAATCTGTGGAAACTGAAGTTTCGTTCACCGTTTCCAAGTCTGACCCAAGTAATCCTTCAGATAATTCTGGAACAGTTGTCTTGTCATGTTTGGATCTTGACAATAGTGCAGATTGTAGCGGATTTACCTCTGGTGAAGCAAATATTGACCAAACTACTTTGAAATTCTCTAAATTTATGGTTCCCGGCCCATATCTCTTCACTGCTACATTTACAAAGGGTTCAAGAAGTAGCTCTGCAAGTATTAAAGTGACTGTTATTGATCAACCAAAGGACACTGTCATTAGAGTGTCTATTGCTGCTCCTCCAAATACTGACTTGACAGCTGTTGATCCATCTTCTGATTTCATATTACAAGCTTATTCATCAGATGTTCTGTCAACTGACAGAGTTTACACATGGTCATCACCTGACCTTGATATGTCTGGAATTGTTACCAGTAACAAGTACATTCTTCTTCCAAAGATCTTACTTGTTCCAGGTACTTTCCATATTATTAACCTTAATGTAGTAGATGATCAAAGATCTGGTGAAGCAACTATTTCATTTACAATCAACTCTCCACCAACAGTTGGTATTTTGGAAGTTTCTCCTGCTACAGGTGTTGCTTTACAAGACGATTTCCAAATCAAGTGTGGTAATGGTTGGTATGATACTCAACTTCCTTTGATGTATGAATTCAAATACAGAGTGGTAGGAGATTCAACTTGGAAGGTTTTGTCAGAAATGTCTGAAAAGAAATCAATCACTTCTCAATTACCAGCTGGTAAAATTGAAATCAAGACAATTGTTTATGATTCTCTTTCTGCCTCCTCTGAAACTACAACTCTTGTTACTGTTACTGTCCCTTCCCTTAGTGAAGCCATTGCTGCTTTGAATGTTTCTCAAATGGGTACAGTTTCAGTTGCTTCAGTTTCATCTGCATTGAGTTTAGTAAGTGAAATTACTGTTTCCACTCCAGAACAAAAACAAGCCCTAGCACAAGCTAATAAGGCTCTTGTAGACAAATTCTTTGAACAACAAGACGTACAATCTCAAATCGTTTCTGAAACTTCTCAATCTGCCAGTTCAAAAGTTTCTGTTATTTCTTCCATTAGTAATTGTTTAGGAAACTTCCCAGATGAAACCATTTCCAAGGTTATTGATCAGTTCTCTTCAACTATCTCATCAGCTTCTTCTTCATCTAATGTTAATATGAAGACAGATGATATTCAAAACTCCAAGGAAGCTGCTTTGAACCTCAAGAGCTATGTTTCAAATGCCATTTCAAAGAGAGCAGTAACTACTCTTACTGTCAAGGATTTGGCAAAGATTGATGGCATCTATAGCAATATTGTTAATGTCGAACTTAAGAGTGCAGTTGCTGATATGCCAGCTGTCAGAAGTACTGGTGTTGATTCATCTATTTATGCCAGACTTGTCAGTATTTCAACCCTTAGTGGTTTGTCTGGTTTTGTTGATGATACAAGCTTTTCTTCATCCTATTTTGAAATGAAGAATGTTTTCAGCTCTATGAAGAGATTTGAAAATGTTGACAGTGTTAAAATTGTCACAAAGGTTTACAAGTTGACCAACTCAACATTGAAAGCAATCAGTAAGGTGATTGACTTTGTCATTACTGAAAATGATAACAACCTTTCCTTTGCATCTGAAAATATCACTCTTGCCACAATCAAGATTGAAAAAGTCAAAACAGCAAGAACCTCATTCACACAAACACAAATTTCATGTTATTCAGTTCAAAACAATGTCTATTCCATCTCGCCAAATTGTAAAGTTGTTAGCACCAATAGTGCAACTGCAGATATTTCTGTTACTAACACTGGTTCCTATGTTGTTGCTGAAGTCACTGTGGACAGCCCAATTACTCCAACAAATTCCACGCCGAAACCAACAGAATCGAATAATAATAACATTGTCACTCCAATTCCTGGTGTTAATCAATCAGACTCCAACTTGTATTACATCATTTTTGTTCTGGCCATAATACCTATTGTGTTATTGATAATTGTTGGTATATTGGTTTGTATTTGTTGTATGATCAAGAAGAAGAAGAAAAGACCAAGCCCAGGTCCAAGAGATATCGAACTAACTGCTTAATAAATTATCTTTTTCATTAACCACCCAAGTCTACCAATAATTTACTTGAAATACTTATTTTAGTTAAAAAAGTTATGAAGAATAGAATCTGCATGGCATAGATTAGAGGTAAGCTCTCGAAGCAGTTTCATAGTACGAGTGATAATACTCTTTTACATTTCGATTTGCATTGTCCTTATGATTTTGAAATTGAAAATTGATAGAAAAATCTCATGTAACTCTGTAAACCTTGATTCTATTATTTCCAGTATCAACAATAAACAAACGAGATGACCCGTAGCAGAATGCAATTCCAGAAGGATATTTCAATGAATTTTCATGGTTTCCAAAGCTACCAATGCAAGTAGAACCAGAAAAGGGATTGTTAGGATGAAATTTTGAAATTCTATGTGAATCCCACTCTGTAAGAAATATATCACCAGTTGACTTGTCCACAAAAACAGAGTTTGGTGCTTGAAATTCTCCCTTATCATTCCCAATACTTCCAAAGCTACTAATAAATTCTCCATTAGATTTCAGTATCTGTATGCGATTATTTCCACTGTCAGAAATAATGATATTCCCAGCACTGTCAATGTCAATATCTCTTGGGAATGAGAATTGACCATATTCCTTTCCCATAGATCCAATCGATTTCAGTAATTCACCACCTGGAGAAAAAACTACAATTCTATGTTTAAACCAATCACAAACATAGATATTTCCCTCATAGTCAACCACAACACCTGTTGGAGAATCCATTACATTCTTTGTTGTAACTCCTCCCCATCTCCATATCTCATTTCCATTAAAATCATATTTACAAATCAATGAATCTCGAGTGAAACTAATAATTAAAGTGTGATCCCAATGAACTGTCACTGCATTTGGTTTGAATGGTGTCGTAAACATGTACTTGAATGTCAGAGTTGACTCATCAAAAACCTGAATACGTCTATTATCTGTATCCACAACAAATATTAATTGATTTTTGAAATCAATAGCCACATCAGATGGATTCTTGAATTGACCATTCTGAGAACCATAACTTCCAATGCATCCAATCAATTCAAACTCGGACTGGCTCGTTTTCATTCCCGAACAACCATTCACAGTCATCAATGTTGATGTTGTTTGATACTGACTATTATGATGACCATTAAAATTATGAAAATAGGACAGTGATGAATTCTTCTTAATTTCATATTGTTATTATTATTATTATCAATCATATAATTGTCATTGTTACTCATCGGAGTAGTTTCTATCAATGTTGTATGATGATCATGATCCATCAGTGCACTACTATTAAAATTACTATTATTATTGTTGTTATTGTGATTATGATTGGGTAGAGATGAAGTCATCATCATCAACCTTCCATCAGAATCATAATGATGTGATGGTTGTGATGTTGGTGGTACCTCCGAAGCACAATCATCAAAGGATCGTTTCATTCGGTTTTTTTGTTTGTTGTATTGATGCATTTCGAACTTGCTACTTCGGAACAGATAATCTATTGTAAACTCAAGCCCAATATTTGATCATTACATTCAACATGTTGCAATTGAGCCATATTCTATTGAGCTTGCATTAAAACGTTGACACATATTTATTCAATGTTTTCTTCCCTTCTTAGTACTACCTCCCACTTTCTTACTTGTAGTAGAGCCACTAGATGTTTGTGCCTTACTCTTTCCCTCATATACAGCATTCTTGAACTTGTCAAAATACTTAAAATTGGTAACATCTGAGAGAATGGCCTTTGAACGTTGGAGAACATTCTGTCCTTTTGTTGGAGCATAGTTGCCACCACTACTTGGAGTTGATGCAGAGGAGAGATTATCATGTGAAGATAATAATCTTGTTGGGGATGTTGAATTGTTAACACTTTGTTGCTCAGTAGAGAATTCTGTACAATTGGTATTAGGAGATCTATTCGAAACACAGGATTCTGTGGAAATGTGTGAATCAGTGCTCTCTGGTGGCTTGTAATAAAGTAGTGCAAAATAGATTTTCTCCTTCATTATTTTGGAGTCGAATATTGGTTTGACTCGTTGAAGCTTGGAACTAAAATCATCCTCTGCGGAGAAATACTCAAACTCTTCATTAAGATTATTTTCTTCACTTGAAATAAGGCCATTATCAGCAATACTACCCTTAGACTCGTCACTAGGAGTTTCTTCAGTTGAAGCAACACTACCAGATTTTCCATTATCCGAAAGCGAATGATCATCAACAGTGCAACATTTTTCTTTTTCATAACTCTTTCTTACTGAAGGAAATTTAGCACATTCTTTTGGTTCATATTTAGAAAAAGAAAGAGAAGCAATTTTAATTCCTTTCACCCAATAGAACACCAAAACAGATAACAAATATTCGTAGATTAAGGTGCAAATGTAATTCTCTTCTCTCTTTCTTGTTACTAGCTGTACATGAAGAATAGCAGAACCATCCAGACACCACACTAAAGTGCAATCCCTTATCTTCAGCCATTTCCTTTAAAATCGGTTTTTTTGGTTCATCATTATCGGTTTCATCGATAATAAGTTCTAGGTTGCATGTAAGAAAGCCATGTTTCATTTTTTTTGTCTGTTTACCTCAATATGAGAAGGATTGAACAAGGAACAAACATTTACTATTCAGTATTGTAGACACTAAGGTTTAGTTTTCATCCAAATTCCACAAAAAATATTGAAATAGTAATAATTATGAAACTCTTAATAAAACAGAAGAATGAAAAAGACTACAGCACCACAGGTTCCCAAGTTGTCTCCAATCTCAGTACTGATGTGGCTCGACGATGCTTAACTTCTCAAATCGGACGGGATGAGGTGCATGAATCGTGATATGGCCGTAGCCATCAATTACCTTAAAAGTCTAATGATACAGCCAATCTGTCTTTAACCCGAATGGGCTATGACTAACAATGTCGGACAAATTCATAATGGATTGAAAATGATACCTTACCACAAACAAAGTATTGAATACGGCAATTGTTTCGAAACTTTGAATTTTGCTGTATTACTCCTCATTCTTCCTCTCAGTAATAAAGGTAGTAAATTGATGCAGCTTTCTTTCATTAAAAGATAAGCCAGGTTTCCTCAGTCCTCTGCAAGATGATGAGAATTTTACAATTTCCTCAGTAAAACCTACAACCATTATTCTGTCAAACACCCAACGGGTCGCTTTGACACTTGAATATCCCCTCACCTACCCTGGATCTCATCCATGTTGGCCTGTTGAGTGCAGATAATCAATCTCGTATACCACTATTTCTTAACTTGAACTCTAACTAAAATTCCTACAACAGCGTATCAAAAGAATTTAAATACTTACCGAAATTGGGTGGTGTGTAGTTTACAATAAACCTCTAGTGAGTGGGGCACAAGACTTTCCAATTCATAAATTGTCTGAGAAATTATTTCAATTGTTAATTTTGGACGGGAAGCCTGCCAGGAATATGGCGACTATCCCGCTACAGTCTTGGACTGTATGAACAGTGAAGGCAACTAATCTATTGATTGTTGGTTCAGTAAGTTATTGTTTAGAAAAACTTGCAACGTGACCATATATTTATCACATTTGAATTTTATCTACTTAGAAAGAGAAACTTGTGGTTGATCAATAAACCTTCAAATTTCGAATTTGAGTCTTCAAATATATTGTTTCGTATTGGCAAGTATAAATGTAATTCAAGACAGTGCAATGAATTTTGTTATAGTGCTTGATCATTAGAATTGTGAATTGGTATAAGGAAAGGTTTGATCGTTTCTCTAGTTAATTTTATTTTCTATTAGTTGATAAAAAGAATAAGGTACCAATCTGCATGTTCACAAATCCCCCATTCACAAACCATGGCTGGTAAGGAATGCAGCAATCATCTATGAACGAGGAAACCTACAACGAAGCATGTTTCCAGTTCGATATCATGCTCAAGATATGTGACTACAGAGTCTTCATCTTGGTTAACCTCAAAGGTCAGATTGACTCAAAAAAGTCGAGTTTATGTATTCCTACAGAAAAGATCCTGTAGAAGTACAGTCAATGGTTTTATCAAGTTTCATTTGTGAGGTTTGTGATATTGGTTTTGAATGTGTGAAAAGTGGAATTAGAAAATTGTGGTACGTTTAATGTGTGAAAAATATATAAATAGGATTCAAGAAAATAATTGCATGAGTTATTTTCTTTAAATCATTGAGGTGGAAAGAGCATTTTCAATAGTTCCATGATGGCTCTTCTTCAAGATCGTAATACCATGGTTTTTAAGAATTTCCTTCAACTCGGTATTTATATCCACTTGTATTTGAGCAAATAATCCAGAACTGTTGTAAATTTTTGTCTTGACAAAGTAAGTTGGAGGCAAACTTCCCTTTTTTCGATTCCTATTTTCTCAAAAGTTTTCTAATTGGTGTTTATGGAGAAAGAACATGAAGTTGCATCATCATAACCACTGTTTCAAACAAAATCAATCAATTTACTGTAAACTTCAGAGTGCCACTTCCAGGTGTCTCAAGAAAACATTGAACCTTGTCAAAGCAAACAAAATCTTTCGTTTCCACACACAAAACATGATTTAGTCCATTTTTGCCCATATCGGAATTCACAACGTGATTAAAAAAACTTTAAATTCGCAAACACAACTATTTGCCTTCAGATAAAAGAAAAAGAAACCAACAACAATTATTAGAACATTT